GTGATAGTATCGCAAGTTTTGCACAAAAATTGTTACTAAAAGTTACGAAAAGATTTCTATCGTTAAGGATATGTGTTATGAAATTGTTTAACAATTTTTATATAAAATACTTAATTCATTGTGTTATTAAATATTACCCCGTTATAAACAAGGTCTACAATATATTGCTAACACATTCTATGCTAACCATGAAATTAAAACTCACTTTAAATTAAATTAAATTAAATTAATTATTTAAAAGTGAGTTTTAATTTTAGTGTTAAAACAAGTGTTATCTCTTTGACAGCTTATAAATGATTCAAAAAATTATATTTATTTATGAATTTACTAAAAATACTAAAAATAAATACTTTGTTATGAAACGAAATGTTGTATTATATCTACTTTGTATGAAATACTATTGCATTAATTCAGTAGTTTCGGAAAATTGTATGGATGTTGTCTCTCATTGAAGTTATCTCGTCCTTAAATTTCATACCTGTCCTCCGAGTCAGTCATCATTTATAAGATAATAAGTTATTCACAAAAAAAAATATTACAATTATTGATAAAATTAAATATTTATTGAAAACTAAATGATTTGATTCATAAAAATAACATTCAAATTAATAAGTGATTTATGGGAACCACTTGTCGTGTGCACCGGTAGCTCACAAACGACTAAACTCTATCGCATTTGTCGCCCAAAACCAATGCATTATTTTGTGATCTGTTCTCCGATTTCGATCGATTGTGTCGACGACTGGATTTCGGAGACATGTCTTCCAGAGGTATCATCTCTTCCGCGTCCGCGAGCGTCGGTCGGGGAGACGAGTCTCTACTGTGGGGGCCGTTGGGAGAGGTAGACGTCGATGAAGCCGAGCGGCGCCGGTGTAGCGACGGCTTGAGATGCTGTTTGTTGGGCTGGTATTCGGCCACTACTGCGGCCGACCCGGGAATGGCTGGTCCGCGACATAATGTCTTATGTAAGTGTCGTTTCGTGAGGCCGTCGTGAGTGGAATGACTGCGAGGAATGTCGCGACTGTTGGCCGACACGGATGAGGGGCGGGAGCCCTGCGAGCAGTCAGTGGCGCCGGTGGTGCCCATTTCGATGAGTCGTGCGATTTGATGCATTTTGCGCTGTCGGGCGCGCACCCGGCCTTTCGTAAGCCTCTGTTTGGCGGCCAAACACCTGATGTGGTCGTCGAACACGAACTTTGCGTTCAGTTGAGAGCGCCGGACAGCCGTTGTTTGAGCGCACTGTCGGATCTGTATGTGAAGGGAACGGGAGTCGTCTTTGTCGGCCGATACCTCCACGTCCTGAAGCCAGGCCACGAACTTCGCGATACCCCAACCCAACCGTTTGGTGTCGGGTTCGATGAGCACCAGTTGCTGCGAGTCTATGACCATAAAGCGCCGCATCTTTGGCTGATCTCTGTTCAGAACAGTGCAGGCGATCAGATCACTGTTGTCTGCAATGGGATCACCGGTTAAGACACTACTCAAGACATGACAGACAACTCCAGTACTCACTTAAGTCGAGCAGTTGTTCCACTTTAATACACGAGTCATAGTTAGTGAGTGGGAGTAGTGTTTCCGTCTCATCCCTCAGACATAGCGACAGATTCCTCAATAAGAAGAACACTTGAATGGCCTGAATATGGGATCAAATGAGACACCGATTACTATGAGTTCAGAAACTGCACCCAAATATCACTCACATATCGGGTGCGCTCGACATCAGCGCAGGGAAGGCGTCGGTTAAACTCGATGCCAGTCATCATGAGTGGCGTCAACTGGTTGGGCGGCAACAGTAGCTTCGAGTCCATCATCAGGTACTCGACGTTGAGCTGCCGTTTGAGGAGCTGTTGGTATTCGTCTTCAAACATATCCAGGAATAGGAGTTCCTCTTCGCTCTTATAGAAGTTCCTGAGAATCAGAATCGCCTCCTCTTTGGCCTGTTCTAAGACAGCCAAGTGATGGTCAGACAGTATACTCGTCCCGTTCCTCATCACCAGTCGCTTCAGCAATAAGACACTCATCTCCAGAGTTATTAAACGTATTTTGCTATCTATTTGTTTATGAAATTCATGGCAATTAGTATTCATTTGATTATAAAAAGTGATTTGAATGGCAAAGGACTGACTGTATTGACAACATTTGCGCATAATTTCAATCAACAGATAAATCACTTCGTTGTGAAGGGTTTCCGATTGTTTGGTGGACTGACTAGAGTTGGCTTTGGAGGACATGTCATGCAATACGACGTCTTTGAACTTGTCTTCAGATATGCCTAAAGTATTTGACAACAAATCTATAAATCTCTTGGACTACAGGTGCTAACAATCAACGCATACCTGAGTTATTCATAATAGCGTACAATAAACACAACGAGAAGAGTGGCAAACGATCGTCAGTTTGGCTCTCAATGTCCAATGAGTTGAGAATCGCCTCCAAAAACGGCTTACTTTCCGTCAACTGTTGCTTAGCTATGGATCGACTCATTGAAAGGCTGGCCTTCTCTTCGTCGGTCAGCGACGTGTCCGTCACAGACATGTCATGTCTGGTGGGACTCATCTCGCAGTCCACAGGACTACTACTATCACTGCAATTGGTTTGAAGCACCGGTTGCTGTTCATCACTGGCACTGACTTGTACTGCGACGTGAGTGGGACTACTGGCCCTTTCCTGTCCCCTCTCATCCACGCTATTCATTGAGTATTCATTGTTTTCGGAGTCGTTTTCATCGCTATTATGTGCTTTGACGGCATGTATGAGCGACTCCTCCAGTGTCTCAATGGGCGCCACGAACTCCGGCCACTCGAAGATCGTTTTGTCACTATTTAGCAAAATGTCCACTAATTTCAAGAGCAATGACTTATTGGAGAGAATTAGAAAGACTTGTGTGAAGAGAAACAGTGACACCGTTTGAGTGATGTGTGGTTTGGATGGTGTGGTCGGGGAGGGGCTGTTGGCTGTGTTGGTGGTCTGACTGCCGTTTATCAGTGAAAATATATACAGCGGTATAAGTAGTCGATTCAACAGATGGTCACTCAATACGTTGTTTAAGTCATTGATGTCTAGGAGGAGGATGTCATTCAAGTAATGCAAATGATCTAAATGTTCGGCCACGAAGTCATCCAATCGTATCAACACTTGGAGTCCGCTATAAGTGACACAAGTTTACCACAAATGAGCAATTGATTCAATAAACAGATTTCACTGAAGACTTACTCTAATTTACTTTTGATTAAACAGTTGTCGATATCAATGACATGATTGCCTATAAACCAGACCAGGTTTGAGAAATATGGCGCTGCCGTACAGTCTCTGATGAACTTCAACATTGACTTCTCCTCCACTTTAAGACACAAAATGACAAAACAATTAATTTTTCGTTCAAAAGTCATTGTCGAGGAATGGAGTAAATAGTATACCTCTAAAGACGTTGAGTGTGAGAGTCCTGACGGCTATTCTGACCATCTTTTCGGAGTGATTGAAGAATTTGATGGCTTCGGTATAGAGCGGGAAGTCATTGGTGTGTTCGTTGAAGAAGAAGTGTATTGTGTGCGGATTCAGCTTAAGTGACAGTGTCTTCAGAAATGATATATAGTATGCCATCACTTCCTCGTCAGAGAAATCAAACTTATGGACAATAATAGAGTTCACGTGATTGTTGGACAACAGATAGTCTGTCGAAGACATAGACAATGAGTGAGCAGTTAATCAATGATTAGCTAATGAATGGCAGAGCCATCAGAGGCTGAGATATGACTTACAAAGAGATGTCTCGTTACGGATGTTCTCAAACAATATGTTTAACGTCTGGAGGAGTTGTACGCAGACATAGGAACCACACTTTTGCTTCATTATCTTCAAGAAGAACGACAACATATTCTTCTCCAGAAAAAAGCTGTAAAACACAACACAAATGAGTGGTAATGAGGGAAAGACATGACAGGAGATGAGTGGTACGGGTGGTGGACCTACTCGAAGACAGTGCTGTCGTTCTGATCACCCCATATGAGTATCTCCGCCACAGACCTCAATGTCTCGACCAGTAATGTCTTGTTTTGTTCGCTGACCGTCTGGTTCTTCGACATCACATTATAGAGGTATCTGTTGTCACGAAAACAGGTCATCAGTGGATGAGTGTTGGCATCAATGGCTTAAGACTCACTTTAATTGTTCCAACGAATGAGGATTCTTGGGCTTCGATGACCACCCGAACCATTGCTTCGGTTTGAGCATCGCTTCCACTGGTGATGATGTCTTCGAGTGGTAATCAATGAATTGAACCAATCATTGAACTTGGCTTCGAGAGCACAATCACTGGTGATATTAATAGTGATTATAAGAAGTGTGTAAAAAATAAATGAAAAATAAATCGCTTTTGGGATCCGTTTAGGCGTTAAACACAACAAACAATTGGTTTCATAGGTTTCATAACAAAAACACCAAATCTTGTTGACATTGACTTTCAATTAGGCTCTCAATTACGTCCACAATATATGGCTCGCAATGGAAATCGTAATGCAATTAAATTTAAGTTGTTTTTGGTTTCATTTAATTTTGTTTGCATTTAATTAGTTTTTACTTACGTTTTGATTTAGGATTTTGTGTATTAATTGCTTGTAATAAATAGTTTTATTGCTTTTTATGCGATACTTGTAGTGAAATTTATTAACGTTTTTAATGTCGAGTAAGTTATTGAGGTTTTTAAATATCAAAGGTTTAAATTACACACTGATTGTAGTAATTGCGGGTAGTTTTAGCTGGATCATCACCATTTTAATTAAATATCAGCTGGATTAAATGTCAGTGTTGAATTAAATTTAGTTTTTATAATTTTCACAATATATCAATTATATTGTATTTAATAGACATCTATGCTGTCTGTCCAATCAATAAATGTAACTAGCACATTATTAGAATTAACAATATATTTACTAAATAACTACTTTTTATAATATGAATTTTATATCAATTGAGAATAGCATGTGAATCATAGGGAACGGTATGTAATTTGAAATGTTTCCTATGTTTACCTAATAATCGCACATATGATTAGTTAGTGATTAGCACAGGGATCACGTTTCCAACAATTCCTGTAGCCTTGGAGTCTATTCTAACGGTAATAGTATTGTGTTTGCGATCATTTGAATCACTTTATGATTAAAGCGTGTATTTACTGTATTGGCAATTGTATTACATGTGATTGTATTTCAATGCAAATATTTACAATAAATGTGCATTTTTAAGATCATATTTATTGTCCAGAATATGTCTTAAGATATTATTTCTCAAATATGGTAATCACTGACGAGTTAATGGGTTAAAAACTTGTGATAATTCAGAAATACCGGTTTCTCCTAACAAATAAGTTGTTAAGTTTGCCAGGGTGAATACTTGTATTCAGATTATTAGAAATTATTAAAACTAAGTTTAAACTTACGGTATATACCGTACAAAAAAGTTTCCCAAATTGTTTTGATAATGAATTCATTTTTATTGAAATGAATGACAAAATACAATAATCTATACATCGGTTTCACTGATATACTAATTCTCAATCATTTCTGCTTCCGATTCACTGCTCTCTGCGACCATCTCTTCATCCGAGTCCTCCTCCTCCTCATCCCTCACGACAACAACCTTTCCTTTACTCTTCTCCCGAATAAGTCCAGCCGCGGGTGACTTAATGAGCGACATATCTCTCTTCACTTCCTTGCGATCCCTTTCCCTCTCGAATACCGTTCCCTTCCGGAGCCGAGTCATCAGGAAATGTGATTCGCGTTTCTGGCGAATCATATCCACGCGTTTCATGGCTTCGATGGTTTCCGTCCAGAGTTTGCGGTCGTATTTCACGGGAATATTCCTCCGCTTCTCGAACTCGAAACTCGGATCCACTTTAAGCTCTTTGTTGTTGGCTTTGCGGAAGGCTTTCGTCCATCTCTTGCGCCGAGGATTACACTTATGTTTGAAGTTCTTATGACACTTCGACTGACAGAACCTGAAGATCTGATCCATACATACAAATACAATGACACCATTAGTACAATAGTTATGGATCAACTAAAGTGCCAATAACTCTCACTATGGCGCGCACACAATGACACCAATTGATACCCTGAGGAATAAACCACTTATTCATGCAATGGAGACAATGGTTTTACGCCAGTGTCTGCGCGTAATATCATAGCGAGAGTTGATTGTATGGATGCAGTGATTGGCCATACCTTGCAGTCGTTGCGTACAAATTGGATGCCGTGTCCGGGATATACCGGTGATGAACAGAAATAGCATCGCTCTATACGCATGGCTTACCACCGATGATGATACCACTGATGAGACAATTGATTATTTCAATGGATTATCACTAAAACGTGTTGTGATTTGCAATCAATGACCAAATGCTGTCACAAACGGTGAACACGTTTTTCAGTAAATAATTCAATAACTCGTCCATAGATTACGTTACGTTTTTTGCTCATAACAGGCCTTTGATTTAATTTAATTATTATTATTATAACTATTATTAATTAAAATTATTGAGTAATTGAGGATAGACCAGGGTGTTTTTAAGAGTTAAATGTGCTAGGAGTTAATTTTAAGTTATTTTATTAATTAAATTAATTGCCATTTCGGATGGCATTGAGTATTTGTGGACGTCTTATATGGACGAGTGTTTTGTATAGATTTGATGTGAAACATGAAAATGAGTTCAAAATTAAAATCACAATTAATTTGCAAATCGTTTCGTCACTGAATTGACCACAAAATCAAAGACAATATTTGTCACCAAACACTACATCCAAACGAATATCTCGTGAATCAAACGGTGTGTCCAGTCATCAGACAAATCCAAGACAATTAGCGTGCGATCTGTTGACAAGTGTTGAGCCATGGATTCAATTGAGTCGATACTGACATCGGATGCGAGCAATGGTCAGCCGTCATCGGCGGTCATGAAAGACATTGAGAACAATAAGGACCGGGAGATCGCAATCCAGGCGCAGACGGAGTACGAGAGCGGTGACCCTCAGCTGGTTCTCGACCTCTTGGAGACGTTGGGCACCAATAAAGCCATTCAACACAACCGACTGATCACTCAGTTCGCGATCGACCACAACGTGGATCAACTGCTCGACGGACTCATCACCTCCGAGGACATGGATGTGGACCAACACGTGCTCATCGACTACAACCGGGCGCTCGTGTTGGCGAAGTATATGCAGCGCTACGACGAGGCCATAGACCTGTTGGAAGTGCGGCGCAATCTCTTCACCAATGAGTCGATGTTTGGCTTCATCGACGACAAGCTGGCCATCAGAGTGTGTCATCTGCTGGTTGTGCTATATCTGGAGCGACGCAAAGAGCCGGCGAAGGCCTTACCGCTGCTGCAGATGATCAGCGAGAAGTGTGACTCGACTTCAGTGCCCCATAATCTGCAGCAACTGAAGGCCAAGTGCTATCTCCAGATGGCGTCCGTCAAGAGCGCCAAACGCGAGCTCAAGTCCATCGGCGGTCAGCCCCTCCTGAGGTCGTACCTGGAGTTCCAGCGAAACAATTACCGCAAAGCCATGAAAGTGTTTCAGACGCGTCCCGACTCGGGCGCCGACCCGCTGTACGTCAACAACGAGGCGCTCATTAACTACGGCTTAGGGAAGAGGAATACAGCGGTCTTTCTGATGACCAAAACACTCAAATCAAAGCCTAATCCCGAGATTTTGTATAATTTCGCGATTTTCCACTTATTCACCGGTAATCCCGACTCCGCTTTCGACATATTATACACATTAGCGCCGCTCTATCGCAAGAATCCTCAGTTGTGGCTGCGTTTAGCCGAATGCCGGCTCCAGAAGTACCGGAGCGCCCGTATGTCCGCCAATAACCACAAAACCGATTTCGATTTGTGTCGCAAAAAGCACGAACTGGTCTGCGGTCACGTGGGAGAGGGACAGCACCGGAAGCTCGTCATCAACGGCTCGACGACGCCGACTGTTGTCAACGAATCAGCGGACGAACCGCTGTGTTTCGCCCGTTCCTGTCTGTCCAACGCCTTAGCACTGATTAGTTCGCCGACCGATCGATGCTTTTTGCCGTCAAACCCGCCGACAGACCCGGAGCTGAATCGCCTCAAGATATCGATACTGTTGTCGTTGGCGTACGTGAACCTCACGCTCCAGGACTACGCGCCGGCCATCAGACACGCCAACGACGCCCTCAAGTTGTCGCCCATCGGCTACCAGAAAGTGTTGGCCCACTTGTACGCCGGCGAAGCTCTGGTATACTTGGATCAGATCAGTGAAGCCATCGGTCACTTCAATCCCGAGCTGTTCGCCAACCAGTCGTCCAATAATAACAACAATAATAATAACAATAATAGTAATAACAGTACCGCCGAAGCGGATAAGACGGTCAACCCCTTATGGTTTACGACTAATTCGGGTAAAGCTGTCCTCTTGTATAACCTGGCGTTGGCCTACACTCTGAGGGGAGAGTTAGACAAAGCGAGCGATACGTTGAGACAAGTGGGACAGGTGTCCGACCAGAGTATCACTGGACAGGTATTTATGTTAGCCGTGTATTTACAGCTACAACAGGGAAACACTGATTGCGCCAAAACGCTCATCAAATCTCAATTACCGCAATACCGATGACTAGATTTCAATTGAATTGTCTTCTCAACCAATCATTTGTATAATTATTATTAGACTTTATTTTGAGTCAATAAAACGTTTTTCTATTAATTTAATTATCTTTTATTTTTTTTATTATTGTATAACTTTGTGTTTCTATAGTAAATACAGTACTAATTTAGTAATTATGGCAATTAGTTTTTAATGTTAAATAAATGTAAATATGGTTTGCATTAAATTAGGTGATAGTAGAAAAATAAATTAACAGTTTTTAAGTAAATAATATATTAACAACTTGGCAATTTTTAATTAATTTACGTTATAAACATTTGCTAAACATATGGTATTTAACATCTAATTTAATTTTATATATGAAATAATGATTGAATGAATTTTGTTTGTGAAATAATGATTAAATGAATAGGAATAGGATTTATATACTAATTATTGGTAATATTACCGGTATATTGAAAACTAAGATTAGATCAAAGTTTCAACAGTGAACTCATAAATATAAACAAATTAAACATAATTTATATATTTGAAGTTATATTAAGTTAAGTTTTAAATTAATAGACAAACAAAAGTAGTGAAAACAAAAATTTAGTATTTAGTCATAAGAATGTAATTGAAGTTTAATTGCAGTAACTTTAGGGCAATTGGTGTATATATTATTGATAGCATTATGTGTCACACATCCAAAGCCATACATTTCAATGGACCTGATTTGTGTCAATCTGGACACTGAATTCAGTGCCACATCCGATATATCCATTACACAGATATCTAACTCTTCAAGTTTAGGCAAATTGATGTAAATTTCTTCAAAAAATGAGTTCCCAATGAATTGAGCGACACTTATGTGCAAATGTGTTAACCGTTTTAAACCATTCAATGATTTACTCAATAACTCATATGATTTAGTGCATTGGACCTTTTTAACAAAATATTGACATTTTATATTCAATCGCTTTAATTTCCTAAAGTTTTCATTGACAAGAGTAATCACTTGATTAGTGTGTTTGGGATCTTTGAATAGATCCAAACTAAGTGACCGTAATTTCGGGCAATTGTCACCAATTGGTGGCAATAAGTACTGAATCGGACACAAACTGTTTGGAGAGAGAAATCCATATTCTGTTAAATGGATAGCAATTAAGGCATTCATTTGTGACAAACCATTGGATAATCTATTCAATTGTTTGAGAGAAAAGTTTTCACTGAAACTAAAGTCAATTGATTTGAAACTCTTTTTGTAGTTTTGCACAAATAAATCAAATCGGTTTGAATTGATGTCATTGTCGGCAAAACTAAAACTTTTCAATCGTTTGAATAACACTTTCTTCTCGTTTGTGAACAAAACCGAAAATCCGTTGATATCTCCAAATAAATTGCACTGAAATTGATGCAAATTTTCACACAAATTAAAGCAATTTTTAAACACATCATAATTGGTTTCATTGCAATAAAAGTTTATAAATTTCAATTGTTTGCCAAACTTTACGAAAAACGACTCAATCGTATCGACAGTAATGCCATCGAAATCAATGGAAATGTGATTCAAATGATTGCAGTGTTTAATAATGAACTGAAGACTTATATCATTGAAATGTGCGGATCCGTAGTATTTGGTCACAATTGTCGATATATTGGCACACTTTGCGAGTATTGATTGAAATGTGTGAATATTATTTTGAATCAAATGCTGCAGTTTTCTGTCAATATTTAAGTCAAATTGCTTATTAAATATCAATCGTTGCCATTGAGTGCTAATGCATTCAAATCGGAACTTATGCTCAAATGAGAGATAACTCAACAAAACTTCACTCAAATCGTCACCAAATCTATCGAAAGAGTCTTTCGCATAGATTGGCACCATTTTTGGGACACAATTTTCATTCAAACACGTTTTAATCAATATAACGAAGTAATCATACAGGAAAGGGAATTAAACAATCACATTTTTAAATAAACCAATTAAAATCGTTAAATGAAACACTAATCCTAAAACTAATTCAGATTTTAGATTAGTACGCTATGGCTAATACTCTGTATTAGTCACTGATGAGTCACTGATTATTAATTAACAAGGTAAAATGTAGTAATGAATTTGAATTGTAAAGTGTTTCGTATGACTAGCAACTATTCACTGTTGAATATAAGATTATTAAAGAATTTTAAGAATATGGTTTACTATACTTATTCTCAATTTCTAATTCAATTGATTTCATGTTTTTTGTCAAGTATTTCACAAATACTCCAAATTCAGGGCTAATAATATCGGTATCAGTGGTTTAGGAATTGATTTTATGTATTGAATAATAATAGTTACTGTATATTCATTCAGATTAACATAAGTTTGAAGGTATGTGTATATTATAGCACGGGTATTGTCATTGAATTTAAGACTTATTTATTTCAATTATTTGGCAAACTTTAAGAAAAACTTATTAATTATACGGACACTATTACTGCGAAAGTCCATCATAATTTTATTCAAATAATTGCAATGTTTAATAATTAATTCAATGCTTACACTATTTACTTATACGTTGTATTTGCTTCTAACACATGTGATCTTGCACACTTTTTCACAATTGTTTCAAACATTTTGGGCTCATTCAATAACTTCTGGTCAATAATTAGATCCACTCGTGTGTTGAATACAAGTCGTTGGCATTGCTTTGATAGGAAATCGTATCGCAATTTATCCTCAAATGATAAATATTTCAATCAGTTTTCACTCAAATCGTCACCAAATCTGTCAAAAGAGTGACACTATATGTGTGACATTTTCCAATCAAACTACAATGTAA